GGTTTGGGGTTTAGGTTTTACGGTTTTTGTTTGGGATGATGGAGAGTCATGGAACGAGCAATAGAAATAGCAAAGCAATAGTCCTCGTAGTAGCAATAAATAATAGTGTTATTCTGTAAAACGTAACAGTAGTGGCCATAGCAATAGTAATATGTCCAGCGCAAGATGGGTCATCATGTTGGAGCTGTGACAGACCATCCTCTACTTTCCCCATGCGCAAAGGTTCCAAAGCCAAGATTGCAACCTGATGGTGCATGGCTCAGTTTTGTTCCGTAGTATCGGATTCAAAGATGAGTCCGTGGGAGAGCAGTGCAGGTCGGCAGCGACCAAACCCGACATACCTGATTTTGCCGGAATACATATATATATATATATATGTACGTATGTATATTACATACATACACTCACGCTGTTATGGTTGTTATCAGTATGATTATCATGAATACTGTTGTTATCAGCCATACAGTAGCCGCACACCCTTGCAAGCATGCCTTTACGGTGCCGCCAAGGTCGTTTGATGTATGGAAACGGCTTCATCGTGCATCCCTGTTAGTGATTTTGCTCGGTCCTACAGTGGCCACCTTATCCTGCGATGCATGTGATTCAAGTTCTTGCAAACGCGAAGATGCTGCCAAATCGCTGGACAAGGGGCCGCCTACTCATGGGCCAAGCCTCCTACGTTTAGAACTTAGGGTTAACGTTTCTGTGCAGACAACCTCCTCCTGACTTCTGTAGGCTGTTGCACATAGGTTCCCGCCTGGGCCAAGTCCGCGGAAGGATGTGCAGCGACATTGAGCAATACATAGACCGTGGACAGTTGGCTGAAAAAGCAAAGTCTCCGTGCGGAGGCAAACATTCGAAGGCATGTTATGAACCAGGTTAAGCAGAATGTCTGCAGAGTTCAGGCCTGGCGATGTCTCCAGAATCACGATCCCACCGAACATTCCTGGCGGCATTTCACCTAAACCCTAAACCGTGGTTTTCCTTTGTTTCACGGGTACAGCCGCAAATGCCCATCACCAAAATCCTAACTAAGTCGCAGTCGCAATCACAGTAGTAGTAGTAGTAGTCGTCG